TGATTTGCCACGATGGGAATGCTGGGCTCCTTCCAGCTCCCCTAGGGCCATGACTTCAAATGGGGAGCTCATATCCTCCTCGGGCTCTGGCTCTCTCACCTACTCTGGCTGCACTCCTTGACGCAATAGTTAACTTTACCACAAGAGCTTATGTGACGGTCATGTTAGCTCATAGCATGTGTTCAATAAACAGTGGCTGGAATGAAACTGGTAACAGAGTATGCTGTAAATGTGAGGTTTCCAGATATGTGCTGGGACTTGTCAGCCCTTCTTTCAGCCTCCTGCCTCTAGTGTTCTCCTGCTGTCTGTCCTCCAAGCAGGGAGATAAAGTTTCCCCACTAACTTACTTCTCTATTAAGGAAAACACTTTGACTATACATGCCGTTAAATGTTGGCCACACACATAGAAAATAACTGACTGAGTAGTAACCATGGAGTAGGCATTTGAAAATTGGCACTGAGCAGAAATGCATCAGCAGAAATTTTGGAATGACCCTTGTAGATTGGTAAAGAATAAGGACTTCTTTTGTAGCTCTAGGTGTCTACCTGTTTCTTTCCGTTTTCTAAATGCACATATGCTGTATATGGTACATTATGCTTTTCTCTCTTCTGTTTTATAGAAAAAAATTCCCTTTCTAATTGCTGTACATATAAAATTGTATAGCATATGGCAGTTTCAAATACAAATGCCTATAACTTTCAGTTTTAGAGAAAAACAAAAGCACTGCAAGGAGAAGTAAAAAGTCTGTTGAAAATATGACCAAAGTAGGAATTATGGTTTTAAAAAAAGATTCTTGGCTTCCAAATTTCACAGTTAGACTAATTCTTTTTGCAGGTAATTAAGAACAGGACTTAACCAGTGAGATTTATAGATAATATATAAAGTTTTTTCAGTTGTGGTTTAATGATGTTGTTTCAGAATCTTTCTGTTTGGTTACAAAATAACTGCAAAGATACAGCAGTGGCTAAATGATAAAGGAGCATCTTTTGGGTCTGGGTGATAGATGTATGCCTATTGTGGATTGATTATTGAGAGTCGCATTCTTCTTTTTTTTTTTTTTTTTTTTTTTTTTTTGAGATGGAGTCTTGCACTGTCGCTAGGGCTGGAGTGCAGTGGTGTGATCTCAGTTCACTGCAACCTCTTCCTCCCAGGTTCAAGCAGTTCTCCTGCCTCAGCCTCCTGAGCAGCTGGGATTACAGGTGCCTGCTATCACACCCAGCTAATTTTTTTGTATTTCTAGCAGAGACAGGGTTTCACTACAAGAACACAGAGAAACAAAATATAATATTGAATGTGTCCATCCAATCTCCTTCAGGCCCAGAATAATTGTTTGTCTTTTTGGTACCCAATGGCAACATAAAAATTGGAATATATTCCAAAACATTCCAATTTCCATGAGTTATGTGTCCACAAATTGTCAAGTACTTCTTGAACTTACATACATTTTCATGGTCACTGTGACATTTCTTGGCATAACAGTTTCCGTAAGTGGTCTGCCTGCTGTGTAATGAAATCTTCCTAAATTGTCTCTTTTGTACATAAAGGTATGTCTTGTCTCCTAAGGCTTAGTTCCAAAATTTGGAAGGATAAAGTGGTTTTTCTCTTTCTTTACACTTCATGATTTAAGGTCCTCTTTTCTCTCCTCTCTTTTGAATAAAAGACATTTACTGTTTTTTTTTCTTTTTCATGTGTCTCTACAAATTGTCAGACTCCAATTTCCTTTAATTAATGAGCTGGAAGCGTCAGAAGAATTGGTAATTTGTACAGTTTTGGTAAAAATTGGTAATTTGTACAGTTTTATAGAGCCAGACTCTTGCAGCGAGGATTGCTTTTTATTTTGACACAGACTTTTCCATGAAGTTTCTCAGAAATCCAATATATATGTATATGTTCAGTTATAGGTAGAAAAAGATACTAACCACAGAGAATAGAGCTTTTGGTCATAATTAAGAATTACCTCTTTCCAATAGAAGCAGTAATCAGAGCTGACAGTTCAAAGTACATGGACAAGAGGCAGCTGACACCCACCTCATACTTTTTAGTTTCATTCCTGCCATTTTAAACAATTATAATAAAAAAACCTAAAATATGATAGCAGATATAGGCATCTGTCCTAACCGTGATTTTTCTGTAGCCAGGCCTGGGAGAAAAGAAAGCATGAAAAGTTTTTAAGTTTATGAACATAGTGTCATGTCAGATATTTTTCCTCTTCAAGGTTAATCTTCTTTTTTAAATTTTATAGTAGACCTCCACATACTACGGAGAAGAGTGTGCTAATTCCCTAATAAAAGGTCATGAATATTGTCAGGGATTATATTTGTGCATGGTCCAAGTTGCCGTTTTTCCTGGAAGATGAATGTGTTCAGGAACCATTCTGCTATTTCTGTGCTCTCAATTGAGTCATTTTCCCAAAATATGCCAGGCTCCAGCCCTGAAAAGGGTCTGTCTTTAGGTCATTTGTTTTAAAATAGGATTATATTACTCTAGCACCATTAATAAAGGGATTTGCTGGCAAAGCATGAGTAACAAAGGCAAGATTTTGAACATATTACCATAGAGCATGGTTAAATAACATTTTTCTGCACAATATTTTGAAATTGTGGTATGCTGTTTTGTAACATATATAGCTGAGTCTACACACAAATTGTGTTTAATAATACAGAATTCTGGGCCAGGAGTGGTGCCTCATGCCTGTAATCCCAGAACTTTGAGATGCCGAGGCAGGCGGATCACAAGGACAGGAGTTCAAGACCAGCCCGGCCAATATGGTGAAACCCCGTCTCGACTAAAAATACAATATTAGCTGGGCGTGGTGGCTGGCACCTGTAATCCCGGCTACTTGGGTGGCTGAGGCAGGAGAATTGCTTGAACCTGGGAGACAGAGGTTGCAGTGAGCTGAGATTGTGCCATTGCACTCTATCCTGGGTGACAGAGCAAGACGCCATCTCAGAAAAAATAAAATAATAATAATAATAATAATACAGAAGTCTGAATCAGATGCTTAGGGTTTGTTGAGCCAGAAAGATTGAGTTCAAATCCCCTTATTACCATATACTCTCCAAAAGATTTCACCCAAGTTACTTTTCTGAGCTTATGTTTTTCACCTGTAAAATACCACCATCCTCATAGAACTGTCTTAGGGATTAAATGAAAGAATAAACTGTAAAAACACTTAGCAAGTACCTGGTGTTATGTGTCACCAGTAAATGTTAGGTTTTAAAATTCTTGTGTTGAATTTCTCCATTGTTGTCTATCTTTTATTATAGTTAATTCACTTAATGCTTATGAAAAAGCTTGTAACATTCTCTAGCTCCCCTTCATGCAGAATATCTTGATAAATACTGTTAGTTAACGATATGTTATATATTTTATTTTTTTTAATAAAGACAAGGTCTCACTCAGTCACTCCTGCACTCAGGCTGGAGTACAGTGGTATGTGTGATCATAGCTCGCTCTAACCTTAAACTCCTGGGCTCAAGCAGTCCTCTTGCCTTAGCCTCCTGAGTAGCTAGGACTAAGGCAGGTGCCATTATGACTGGCTAATCTTTAAAAATTTTCTGTAGAGATGGGATCTCACTCTGTTACCCAGGCTGCTGTCACACTCCTGGCCTCAAGTGATCCTCTCACCTCGGCCTCCAAAGTGCTGGCATTATAAGCGTGAGCCATGGCGCCTGTCCCTATTCTTAACTGCCCATTTTCAGAAGCAGTGCTAACAGGGAATCATTAATAATGAAGTTAAATTGGTAGGATTTATTGCACAAACATTATCCTTCTGGGCTCTGAGTTTGAGTGGAGGGCCTTTTTGTTTGGAGGCCAGATATATAAGCATTAACTCAAGATGGCAGCTGGTAGGGCACAAAATTGAAAGAGGAGGAGGCAAGATTGCCACCTGGTGCTGTAAAGACTGAGGCAGATATATTACAGCCATCAAACAATCTGTTCCTTCTTCTTCTCCCCTCAATATTTGGCAACACAAATTAAAAGCTTTATAATGAACTTACCTGATTTACAGATAAAGATATCAAAACTCTGACAAGGAGGCGCATGTTTCATAACTGTTAATACCTGACATCTGGGATTCAAACCCATGGTTTCCTGACTCCAAAGGTTTTATCACTATACTGATACTGGTGCTTGGGAAATGCCAGGAGTTACTGGTTTTCCTCAATGAAGAACATTCCCTGCAAATACATCATCCTTGAACACAGAAAGTAATGTTCAGGATAATTGTTCACTGGTGGTTAGGCTGTTTCCTTTATTTTGATCACAAAATCATATAATGCTAGTACTGTAAAGGATCCTAATATTCCTATTGCCTTATTTTTGGGTGAAGCAACTGAGACCCAGAGAGAACCAAGGACTTGTCTGATGTTTCCTAGTTGGCTCATGGCAGTATTGAGGCTGGGAAGAACCTCATTCTGTGTCATGTCTGCAGTGTTCAAAATCTGCTCTGCATTCTGATATTACCACTTTTAGGGTCCTGGGCCATTTATTTCCTTTCTAGTCTTAATAAGGTTTATATTATTATTATTATTATAGGTTTTTGGACTATTTTACATTTGTATACAAAATCATTTTATATTTTAAAACATACACCTTTATTCACTCATGTTGGTGAATGGGGGAGAATAACGGAAGAGTTTAAAGTTGCTGTTTATTCACAAGTCGCTAAGCTGTGAAGAAACACAACTGGTTATAAAAGTGAAATTTTACTGAAAATTGTAATGTTCATTGTGTGATAGAATGGAGTGTCCTCTTTAAATCAAGGTAAAGCAAGCATATTTACATTTTAAATACTCTGAAAAAGTGAAAGCAATTTAAGGACATGTAATTCTCTAAACATTAATTTTAATTATGTGGATAGACCTGCCAGTTTAATTTAATCAGTCAGGTCTTTGCTTTTTATTCCACAGATCTTCACGGTATTTCTAATTTGGAAATCAAAGTGCATATTAATGTACCTGTGACATATAGAAACAACTATGTTTCTTGATACACTCCCAAATACTCTGATATTTGCATCAAAATTGTCAAAATTCTTTCTTTCTGAAAAAAAGCATTGAAAACAGATACTAGAAGATACTAGAGTTTGTCAACATCTTCACTGGGCTTTTTTTTTTAATGCGGCAAATAGAATTTGTAAAGTTGACGATTTTCGTTCCTTCCTGCTGTGTGCTTTTTTTGTTTGGATGAGTATGAAAGAAGGTTCTGAACTATGTTCAGAGCCACTTGGGGTGTTCCTCTCCTTCTAATCCATGGGAAATAGGTGTGCCCAGCTAGCAAAAGAGGAGTAAGAAAGAAGTGGAATGGAATTTCTGGCACTATGAACAATTTTTCATTCCTAGGGTGTCATAAACTAAGGCTATTATACCCTCTATAAGGTAACAGATTTTGAAAAATTACGTGAAACCTGTTATTTCATGTAATAAAGTTGAAAATACAGCCTGTCTGAAAATTAGTTGTTTTGCTGCCCCTGAATTTGCTCAATCATTTTGTGGCTTCATTTAGAAAGATGCCCTAATCTTTTATCTTGTCAGTGATGCATCTATATTTGGGTGATTTTCTAGGCTGTTGACATATTTGATGCTATAATTTAAAAATTCATAGTATTGATTACTGCTTTAGTTGGGAAATAAGACAGCATCTCAGAAAGCAGGAATTTAAAGATATGCTGTACCCTACAGATAGCAGTCGATAGCTTTTTTCCCCACACTTAGCCTGTCATTTCTGTTGTTCATGTAGTTTGCTAGGTAGTTAACGGTACTTCATACAAGTTGTGTTTCTGCTCTTTTGGGTTTCCTATTCATAAACAACAATCTCCAGGGGATAAAAGAAGGCTCTTCCTCTTTAAGTAGCAGACAGAAAATACAGTTTTTTTTTGGGGGGAGGGGGGGTTTGAATTTTCATATGTAATTACTGCAGTCGTCTGTAGGAGAAAGGACTCATTATGGTTTTTCTCAGCTATCTTTCTTAAAGACATATGCAGATAGCCAGACAGCGCACATGGCACTGACCTACTGTGGGGGACTCACAGTTTTGTGAGACTTAGGGAGCGTATTGCCACTTCCGTCACTGAATGCCAGTCCCAGAGCAGTTGCATTAGGCTGGAGGACTGGAGGTGGAGCCTTTTTTGCTCACGGCAGCAAGTTCCCTTCTCTTTTCTCTCCCCCGGCGGCGCGTGCATTGGCTCATCGAGCTGCCTGTGCTGCTCCGTGGAGTGAAAAAGGCAGGGTGTGCTCGCAGACTGTGCTACAAACTGCAGTTTCTATTTGGGGTGCTCACGGAGAAGAACACCAGGAAAGACAGACAGGACCAGTGCCATGGGCCAGCTTTGCTGCTTTCCTTTCTCAAGAGATGAAGGAAAAATCAGTAAGTGGGATTTGTACTGTGCAGAATCCTAAGTGCTTGACTATTTTGTGTGATTGTCTTCTAGGGGTAGTTTTGCTTTTTTCAGTAGGAAAGATAGCAGACTAATCAGCTGTGATTTTTAATATGCAATTGTTAAAGGTACTGGTAAGAGTGTAGTTACAAATTAACTATAAAAGTACAGTAACTCAGTAGGTGAGCTATATTAAAAATACTAAATATTGAAATGTCACTTGTGATTCTCCTCTGTTGGTACTCTCCCAGTTCATTTTTATCACACTACATTAGAGTCAGTTTAGGTTTGAGTTTCTTTAAATCACTGCATTCAATTTGATATACTGTACAAGCCAGACTTCATTTTTCTTATCTGAAACTGGCATATTTTCTGAGCAGTGCTCAACAGTAACAGATAGAGAGGCAAAGCTGGTTCTAAAATGACACATATTAGACACTTACAGATATTTTCATGTGTTCCTTGCTTTGTTCTGCCTGGAAGGGATTCAAGTGTGCCTATGAGACCACTCTAAACAAGTGATGCCGCTTTGCTTCTAGCAGAAACCTCATGGAATCTGCCTAAATGAATGTTGAATTCCACAGCAGCTTATGCCCAGAAAAGAGAACTTAAAGTGGTGCCATTTGCATTGAATTTTGTTCCTCACTGGCTTATGTGTATTCACTTACATTTTAGCTTTGTTAAATGGATTACTGGCATTTTAATTAGTAAGCTGAATAGAGTTTGCCTTACCCTAGTTGCCCCAAAATAGGGAATTTTTACTTCCTTTTCAATATAATGTTTCCAGTCATACTTGCTAAATTTGCAGCCACATTGCTGTCACATCAGTGCTTGATTCTAATTTAGATAGGTCCATGGAATTTCATAATATCTGATTCAGATACTCAGAGATCTACATCTGGTTTATATTTCCTGTTGCTTGTTCTTCAGAAACTAGCCAGGGACTGTTTAAAAAAAAAATACATATGCTATACCTATTCACTTGGGAAATAAGACAGTTTTTACAGTAACTCTTTTGGGAATGCTTTGGAATAAATGCCGAAGTCTCCTAACATTGGAAAGTGTGGAACATTTGATTGTTAACAAGGAGCTAATAAACGGTGCTCTAAATTTTACTTGTGAAATGATACCATGCAGTATGTGACAATCCCGCTTTTACAACTTGAGATGACCTTACAACAAAATCATTCACTTTCTAACAAAGAGCATTGGCATTCATTTGGCAGCCCAAGACTTTTCAGGTTATTTGTCAGAATGATTTATTTGTAGTTCCTGAAGATTTTGGTTGGTTGATCTTTTTCTCGGGCATTGCTCCTCTCTGGAAATCCTCGGCAAGATGCAGGGATAGTGAATTCTTTCCCCACCCTCTTCACTTTCTATTCCATTGCTCAGGGTTTTCCCTTGGAGTGCCTGCTCTCCTGTTGTATTTCTCTTCTTCCCCTGTCTGTAAGCGTGTTTTGGCTCCATCTGAAGAAGTCAAGTTTCAGCTCCAGAAGGAATTTGTTCTTTTCTGTCTTTCTTATCAGGGACTGTTGGAGAACAGTCTTCTGTTTTACATCGGTGCTTCCTAATATTGATGGACAGGAAATAATATCTACTGCTTTTTGGATTTATTGTCTCAAATTCCAAACTTTAAGAAAAAAAAATGAAGGTAGAACACCGTATCGGAAGTGAAGCCAGAGTCTGGATGTGCAAATTCTGGTTAAAAGAAATGCATTTGCACCCCCGCCCCTATTCATTCCTGATGGCCCTCTGGTCTTCTCCATTTTCTCCCCATCATTCCTTCTTCCATCTGATTTTGTGATTACTTCACTGTTTTTTCTCCTAATCTGCTTTATACTCCATTCACACACCCCATGCACACACATATGCACATTGTAGAGCTGTTTCCTGATGCAGTGTTTAATTTCTCTGCTATAGGATGGTCTAAAGAGAGGCTTCTGTGTCAGGCACTGTTGTCCTTCTGATAATGTATGCCTAACAGTACTTATAAAGGGGACATTTAAAAAGTGGCAGAGAATTTATTGCTCAGCATGCCTCAAAGAACATATACATTAGCACAGACTGAGTATCCAGTCTGGAAGCTGTGCTGATAATGTGAAAGAATCCATAATAGACATTTGGGAGGGTCCAGCATTTTTCTGATTTTGCTGCTGGATTGTACAGTTACCTCCTGGGTCTTACGTATTTTTTGTGTCATCACCTAACAGCCTTGTTAGCCTACACTGAGGAATGTACTATCTGCTAAATACTAGTGAAAGCAGAGCGTCTGGGAATGCTTTGAAATAAATGCATCTACTAAAACCAGAGCACAGAAATGTGAATGCCCACTCCTTCTAATTCTGTAACAGGCGGTGGCTCTAGAATGTTCCTCCTTGAAGGTAGCCCAAATTATGCAGAATTCGATGAGTTTTTGGTGAAGGTTTAAATGTGTGGGTGTTATTCTTAAAACACAGGTGAGTTGGAAAGCTCGTCCTCTGCAGTCCTACACAAAGATACAGCAAGGATATACCCAGTTGGCCAAGTGGTAAGAGTCAAGTGACTCCTTCCCTCTCCTGCTGCTGTTTATCCTGCTTTTGCCCTTTGGTGGTGGTGGTAGATAGAAATAATTCTAATTTAATTGATTTATTAGTGCTACTATTTTAGTCTATTGATAGTAAACAATGATTTTTTAAAATCAACTAGTCGTGCGGAAGCCTAAGCTGTAGAAAGTTGACTATATGCATTGCCAGAAATATTTTTAATGCAATTTTGATTGATATATAACAAATGTACGTATTTTGGGGGCACATGTGATATTTTGATACATTCCTACAATGTGTAAGGATGAAATCAGGGTAATTAAGATATCCATCACCTCAAACATTTATCATTTCCCCGTGGTGGGAATATTTCAACTCTTCTAGCTATTTTGGAATGTACAATAAATTGTTTTTAACTATAGTCACCTTAGTGTGCTGTCAAACGTTAGTACCAATTCCTTCTATCTGACTGTGTTTGTACATATTAACTTCTCATCCTCTCCCTCCCTGACAACTTCCCAGCCTCTGGTAACCATACTCTATCTCCATGAGATCCACATTTTTTTAAGTGAGAACATACAATATTTATCTTTCTGTGCCTGGCTTATTTTACTTCCTATAATGACTTACATTTCCATCCATGTTGCTGAAAATGACAGATTTTATTCTCTTTTATGGCTGAATTGTATTCCATAATATACCACATTTTCATTATCCATTCATCCATTGATGGACAGTTAGGTTGATTCCATATTGGGCTCTTGTGAATAACGCTGCAGTGAATGTTGGGGTGCAGGTATCCCTTCGATACATGAATTTCCTTTTTTGTGGATAAATACTCAGTAGTGGGATTGCTAGAAATTTTGCCAATAGGCTGAATAGTCAAAAACAGCAGAGCTTGTCATGGTTTATTTATTAATTAGTACAGCACAAAACAGCTTTTTGTTTAAATCTCGGAAGTTAAATATTTTTCCAAACTGTATACTTTTTTGTCACCACAGTGAGTAGACTACACTGTCAATAAATTCATGTTTCTTGGAAGATTAGGCTCTTTCTATTGCTATACAGGAATATTCTTAACATTAAAAATAACTGTATATATTATAGGATTAACAAATACTGTAGATAATTTCCAATGTAGTTTTTGCTGACTGCTTATATACAACTTGATTTCTTTGAATTACCTAATTTCTCATATTGAGCTGCCTGAAAGGAATGTCCACCATGAACAGAAATGTCATTGCAGATAACCCACAGTGGTTAACATGCCTCTGCATATTGGCTTACTATCTCATTAAGCAAAACTCAAAAGAAAACTTAATAACTGTATTAACTTCTGTAACTAATTAGAAAACATTCTATTTTCTCTTTTCCTGTTGCAAATTTTCCCATTTTGAAGTACATTGCTTTTATATAGAATTAAGCAGATGAATGGCTAAAGATGAACTGACCTACCTCATCAGTCAGTCTGTTGTCACTGGAAGTATTCAAGGATAGGATGGGGATATCATAAGGACATCACCTTATAGGGGTGTTGTAAAGGGAGAATGGACTTGATAATGATGAATACATTGACAACTCAGTTTCTTTCTAGCCCTCATGTTCTGTGATGGCTAAAAATAAAATATTAGAATAAGTTTGTGTTTTAACAAGACACATTTTAATTTTATACATGAAATATGTGTCATTATAGTCTTTTTGTGTGGGATGAATTACTGGGACCATTTATAGTACTCATTTTATAAATATGAGTCAAATGTTGAGATAATTTCTGATGGTATTATTAATTTGTAAGTTGAGGCATGCCGTGAATAATATCTGGTGAATACATATATATAATTATAATTACCATAAAGGTGATCAAATTTTACTCAAGGAAATCTATATTTAGATTTTCCAATTGTCTAGAAGGCTTCCTAGAAATCCTATAGCCTTATACTTTGCTCTTCTCATTTGCGCCTAAGATATGCTGACTTCATGGTTACATTTCATATGTCTGCTCTAACTTATCACGTGGATTTCAAACACCCCATATTCAGTGTATGTGTCATATATCTCTCTTAGTAGCACCAGATCCTAACATAGTATCTTACCCAGAGGAGGCATGTTCTAAATGCTTGTCAATGAAGGGAATGATACATATTTCTTATTGTGAATGTGAGAGAGCTTCAGTGTCAATCAGCCTATCAAAGGATAGAATATGGAATAACTCTGATTAATGTTGGAACCCGGAAGAGCTTTGGTTACTGCACGTACCAGAGAAACATTTTAACAGGCTCACACTTAGTTTTTACATCCTGGGCCCCAGGGAATGTGGATAGGGAACCCCCCATCAGGGGACAGTGACACTTTATTTTTCTTCTTTGCCAGTAAAAATGTGTTTGCTCACAGGGAACACAGCATAATTCCAGTTCTGCTACTGCCTATTGAAAACATACGGCCCATTGCGTGGCATGCAGTTCTTACTA